AAAAAAAAAACCAGAAATAGATCCACACAAGTATACCCAATAAATTTTGACAAAGGAGCAAAATCAATTCAATGGAAAAAGGATAGCCTTTCTAACAAATGTTGAAGAAGCAGTTGGATATCCACAGGCAAAAAATAAAAATCCTTCACCTAAATTTCATATCATATACAAAAATTAAATCAAAATAGATTACAGATTTAAATGTAAAACTATATAACTTTTAGAAAAATACATGGTAGAAAATCTTTGGAGACTAGCACTAGGAAGACAGTCTTTAGACTTGACACCAAAAACATGATCCATAAAAGGAACAAAAACATATATTGGTCCATCAAAATTAAAAACTTTTGCTCTGTCAAAGATCTAAAAGCAGTGAAAAGATAAACTACAGAGTGGAAGAAAATACTTGCAAGCCAGATATCTGACCAAGAGCTAGTATCTTAATTATATAAAGAACTTTCATAACTCAACAGTTAAAAAATGGGCAAAATAGATGAAGAGACATTTCACTGAAGATATACAGATGGCAAGTAAGCACATGAAAACATGTTTAACATTAGCCATTAGAAAAATACAAATTAGAACTGCAATATTACTACATGCCTATCAGAATGGCTAAATGAAAAGAAAATATTAATAACACCGAATTCTGGTGAGGATGCAGAGAACTTTGACTTTATGCCAGTGAGAAGGTAAAATGGTACACCCATTCTGGAAAACTGGCAGTTTCTTAAAAAACTAAGCATATAACTTACAACTTGGGTATTTATCCCAGAGAAATGAAGACTTATGTTCATATAAAAACCTTTATATTAATGCTCACAGCAGTTTTATTCATAATAACCAAAAACTCAAAAAAGCCTAGATGTCCTTCAAAGGGTGAAAAGTTAAACAAAGTGTGGTACATACACACCATGGAACACTACTCAGCAATAAAAAGAATGGACTATTGAAACACATAATAATTTGAATAAACCTCAAGGAAGCTATGCTTAGTGGAACAATCCAATAACAAAAAGATAGTACATGTTTCCATTTACGTAACATTCATAAAGTAGCATAATTATAGAGGTAGAGAACTGGTTGGTTGCCAGGTGTTAAGGATAGGGAGGAAGGGGACAAGCATGCCTATAAAGAGGTAACATAAGAGAGTCTTATGGTGGTGATGATACAGTTAGTATCTTGATTGTGATAGTGGTTGCACAAGGCTATACATGTGATAATATTCCATAGGGCACCCCCACCCATACACAAATTAGTTCATGTATAACAGTTGAAATTTGAATAAACTCTATGGATTGTGCCAAAGTCAGTTTCTTGGTTTCAATAATGTATTATAAGGCTATAAGATGTTAACACTAGACTAGGCTAGGGAAAGGGTTTATGGGAATTCCCTGTACAATTCTTTTGCAACCTACTGTAAATCTATAATTATTTCAAAACAAAAAGTATGTATATTAAAATATAAAATATATTTTATTATAAATTATATAAATGTATACATGAGAGAGATGGAGAGAAGTGAACGAGTGTTATCTTCAATTTAATAATCATTTATTGCATGCATTCCATAGCCAAGATTCTGGTTAATGCAAAGCTGAATAAGTACATTTTCAAAGACCATCCATTCCATTAAACAGAGTCTTCTTGAGAAGTTTCAATCAAAATGCCCTTAATCTTTCAGTATGAAACTTACCAATGAGTAACATAAAGTAATTGAAACCTATTAACTTCCTTTGAAGTTAATTAATTCCTTTGAATTAATTATGAACATTAACTATTCTTCATTCCAACATTCTTCTAAACTATTTTTGCTAAAACCACCAAGGATGTCCTAATTTGCCAAATGCAAGCCCTGGTTGACTGCTCTGTAGCATTTGTCCTTGTTAACCAATTTTTCCTTTTTCTTTTTTTAAATTGAGGTAACATTGGTTTATCCTTAAGGGTATTATGCTAAGTTAAATAAGTCAGATGGAGAAAGACAAATACCATATGATTTTACTCATATGTAGGATATTTTTAAAAATAATTCTCCTTTTTTAAAGTGCTCTACTTTTTTAACTTTTGTGACATCACTTTTTCTGTCTCTCCAGTCGTTTTTAGTTTTCTCTCTTGTTTTATATGTTCTCTCATAGCTTCAGTAATAAACCCATGCTAATTGTTCTCACATCTCTTTTTTCAATATCATCTTCTTTCTTGAATTTCAGACCCATATTATCAACTGCTCATTAATTGTTCTACTTGAATGTCCTCCAGGAACTTCCCATTTAATGTAACCCCCCATTCTTCCTCCATATATGTGTTCTGCACATAGTAGTTGCTCAATAACTATCTGAATTAAAATCGAAATATTCTTGATATTTTGAATGATACATAATTGTATTATTCTTGAAAGTTAGAAACCTCAGTGTACTTCTTGGCTTTTTACCATTACTCGTAAATCTAGTTAATCACAAAATGCTATTGATTTTACCTCAATGTTTTTTAACTTAGGCTCTCCCCATTCTTACAGCAACTTCTTTAGTTAGAGTCCTCATCATGTCTCACCTGGACTATTGACATAGGCTCCAAACTGGTTCTCACAGATTTATGTCTACAAGTGAATGACTAGAGATGTGCATGTGAGTGAGAAAGATGTGTGAAAAGCTAACTACAATGTGAAAACACTGTCCCCAACTGTGCAGCTTAAGTTACCAAAAAAAAAAAAAAACCAAACTTTGGATGGACAATGTTTGATTGCAGAGCCAAAGACCTTGTGAGAAATAGCAAGCTAAGAGAAATGAGCTTGTAAATGATGCTATGAAAGTTTTTATTTCAAATACTGGCTCCCTAAACATCACCAAAACAACTGTGGGAGTAGATGGTCTCAGTTTTCATATAAAGGAGACCATAAAAAGAAATTAGGAAAGGCACTGAAAGTTAATTGTACATTAAATTAATAATGGTGAATATTGAGCAATTAATTTTTATTTATTATCATATCTTTGCTGCAATCTGACTTAAGCCAGTTTGGCCTTCACAAGTGTTGGGTTTGGATGTCTGTAAATTGAAGACTATAGGTCTCCAAATGCACAACTTTGTTACTGCATGACATGTTACAGTAAATGGAAATCTTAAACTGAATTACCTCACACATGCATTTATTAGTTAATAGGAAAAAGTAAGTCTTACAGCCTGTTACAATAAGCTTGGAAATTTCACTTCTCCATCTATTTGAGCACTTTAACAAACATCTTGCATGGATGTTTCACTCCAAAGCAGGTGTTCTGACAGTACGTTTAGCTGATCTATTTGGGTCATGGAACAAAATTCTTTCTTATTAGAGTATGTGTGTGGTGGTGGGTGGGTGGGGTACAGAAAAGAAAGAAGTTCTAAACAGTGAAACACAAACAGTGAAAGACAAAATGCACCAGACAATTAAAGAGATTATTTTATTTGGACTATTGCATTAATGAGGAACATCTCAAAGAAAAGGAAGGGAGCTTGAGGTTTTATAGAGGCAGATAAACAAGGGAGTTATCCATGAGGTATATGAGAGTCATAGAGAAGGATAAAGATGGGTCTTATCTGAGAAGATATGAGAACAGAGTAATCCTTTGAGGTTAGCCAGAGTATAAAGGAGTGGGCAAAATTCTTAACTGTTGCTAATGATGGGCTTCAGAACACATTACCTCCAAAATATGGTGCATTGGCATACTGAATATTTTGAGCTGAAGGAATTTAAGAAATGGTAAGTGCAGGAAGGATTCTCCAACATTTCTTTCACTGAAGCAGATCATAAGACCCTCATGTAAGAGGTGCCCACCCTATATCCAAAGGAAAGGAATACCTTATGCCTAAGAAAGAGGGAATTTGACTGAACAAGCCTTGCTAAGTTTCCCCATTTACTGTCTAACTCACCCTTTTCTCCTATCATGTGTTTTTCGGTGACTCTCTACTCTTCTTCAAACCTAACATAAACATACTCAGGTTTAACTGTTTGTTTTTTTTTTTTTTTTTGGAGTGGGGTGGTTCATTTCCTTAGAATGGCACCCATGTCATGTAAAAATTATATATTAAATAAATGTGTATGCTTTTCCCTTGTTAATCTGTATTTTGTTGCAGAGATTCAGCCAAAAGTCTACAAGGGTTGAAGGAAAAAGGTATTTTTCTTCCCTCATATTACCTTCTGGGAGCACAGGGCTCAGATAAAATTCACTATCGGCATAGGTCCTCCTTACAAGGTGTTAGGTTGCTGGGCTCTTCTGGTTCTTATATACCCCTTTTTGTGCAAGGGTGGAGCTGCCTATAGAATATTTCTAGTCAATACATATTTTTTGAATATCACCAATTAGAACCAGTTGTTTTGAGAAGAGTATTTTAGATGGAATAACCAGGAAAGTACTCTCTGAGTAAGTAATTTTGGAACAGAGACCTCAATTCATTAAGTGAGCAAGCCATGCAAAGCAGAAGGGTATTCCAGGCAGAAGGAACTGAAAGTGCCAAGACCTTGAGGCACAAATGAGCATGTGGAAATAAATGAGACTACCCAAATGAGAACAGCAAAGGGCTATTTATTCAGAGCTTGTTGTAGCAAGGGAGTTAGCCACCATAACTTGCACTTGGCAGAGACTCAAAGGCAGAGAGTAGGGAAGCTTCATTGTGGAAAAAAGGGACAGCTTCAGGTATGACTTGATTGGAGACTGCTGGCACGGCAAAACTATAGGCAGGCTAACTAGAAGCAGGGCATCCTATGTGAGGGGTACATATTTGGCTTTCTCTGGTTGGTCCTAAGTTGGGAGCTGGGACAAAAATTAGGGAAGCTGTCAGTTATTAATCAAGTCCTGGATGTTTGAGGCTGATTGTTATAGGGAGTATTGTTGGCTTCCTAGATTGGTTACTAGAGATAATAGTCTAACTTCCTACAAGTCTGACTTCTAGAAAGTAAATTGATTTATTGAGTGGTTTCTGCAGATTGTGGATCAGAGTTCTAGTTTTATATATGATTTGGCCATTGTCTGTCTGCATATTCAGTCTCTCAAGTGTGACATGTTTGAAGAACACCAAGAAGGCTAGTGTGGCTGGAGTGGAAAGAAGGAGCAGAAAGTGTTAGGAGATGAGGTTAGACAGATAGGCGGGAAATAGGTCTGATAGGGCCTTGAAATCCATTCTAATGAATTTGATTTTACTCCATTGTAATAGGAACCCTTTGGAATATTCTTAACAGGGGAGTAAAGTGAGCTGATTTCTAGTTTTAAAAGTTTGCTTTGGCTGCTATATAGACAGCAAAGACTATAGAGAGACAAGAGTAGAAGGAGAGAGGCCACCAAAGAGGTTATTGCCATAGTTTAGGTGAGAGAAGTGAAAGAGTTTGGAACACGCCCCACAAAATATACCACTCTAGCATACGGATTATTTTAAGTTAAAGGCACTTGAAAAACAGCAGATGCAAGAGGGGCACTCTGACCTTTTTTCTTTCTTTTAAAAACAGGAGATGAAATTCCCATGTGAAAGATATTGTAGGGGAGCAAATTTTGCCACCCCAAAATGTGTCTCTTTGGCTTGAGGGTTAATTTAGGCTGATTATTTTTAAGAAACAGAATATTCAGGAAGTTCTTCTTGTTATCTCTCTTTTAACTGCATAAAGGAATTTAGATAAAGGGCCTGAAATAGACCTGTCTCCAGAGATAAAAGAGTATGGGCTAGGTGAGGTGGGAAAAATTTGGCAGGGCCTGAAGATCAGCATTCACTCTGTGTCCCATTGTCTCTGCATGGCCCAGCAAACATTTGTGTCCCAAACATTTGCTTTTTCATCTCCATGTGAATTGTCTTCCTCCCCTTTCAGGTCCCAAACCACTATTCCCAAAGTCCTCTTTTGTCTTTAGCCAAAGATGAAGATGGTATTTAAGGTGAAGGTTTCAGGCATTTTGTCAAGTTACACAATTTTCCTGGGTCTCGCTCATGTATGCATGTTATTAAACTTTTGTTTGCTTTTCTCCTGTTAATCTGTCTCATGTCAGTTTAATTCTTAGACCAGCCAGAAGAATCTAGAAGGGTAGAGAAAATTTTCTTCCTCCCTGACAATGACCTCCCTATACCAGAAGGGAAGAGACATTCTATCTTCAAGGATGGGAAGTTGAGGCTGAGAGAAATCTGTACAAATAAACCTTGTTAAACTAACGTTTATTTTCCTAGTCACTTCTCCGCCTAATTAAATACACTAGCCCAAGCCCCTTTGCCTTGTGACATTTTCACAATTTACTACTCTTTGTCCAATTCAGTACATTATTGTTCAACTGCTTCTTTGGGTCTTCATTTTTCTCATGAGGGCTCCCATGTACATGTAAAAAAAAGTTAAAACTTGTATGCTTTTCTTATGTTAATCTGTTTTATGTCAGCTTAATTCTTAGGCCCAGCTGGAGACTCTTAAGAGGATAGAGGATAAGTTTTTCCTCCCCTATAGGTGATAAGTGGTCTAAACTAGAATAGTAGCTGTGGAGGTGGTAAGAGATAGTGGATTCTGGACACGTTTGGAAGGAAGAGAGAACAGGATTCATTGATGGGTTGGACGTGATGGTGAGAAAGTAATCAAGAATACAGTATTTCTGGGATGTGCTCAGAGCAGGGGGCCTGAAGAAATGACTCCTCTGTTTACAACACACCCAACAGGAATCTGGGTTCATTGTGACAAATGGCACAAAACTTGGGGCCTTCCTATGAACACATACCCTACACATGTCCCCCTGCACCTCCACATGGCTGCTGGGCAAGACCAGTGGGATAGGGCTCAATACTGGAAGAAAAACCACAGTATTTTGTGGGGGAATTTGCCACCTAGAGCCTGTCTGGTCTATGAATGGGTGGGCTATGAGTGGTCTTATAGACATGAAGCCTTTGAACTTCTTTTCAAGGGAAAAAAGAGATTCCATATGCCATTCTGGAGTAGCGAAGTTTTTTAGAGCAGTGAAAATACTTTGTATGACATTATAATGATGTATATCTATGTCCTTATACTTTTGTCCAAACTAAGGTGAACTGTGGACTTTGGTGATTATGATGTGTCAACATACGTTCAGCCTTAGTTAAAAAAAAAGTACCACTCTGGTAAATAAAAATAATGACTATGCACATATGTGGAGAGCAGGTAGGTATATGGGAAATTTCTGTACCTTCCTATCCAGTTTGTTGTAAGCCTAAAACTGCTTTAAAAAGTCTTAAAAACAAGAAAACTCAGGGTAGACATTTTTGGCAAAACTGGTTTCAGTTATATATATATGTGTGTGTGTTTGTTGGATTGTGATATAAAATGTATTTTCCAGGTCAAAAAAGTTTGCAAGCCACTGTAGTTAAGTTACAGTGGGCAAATAAAAATAAAACTTAAACTCAAAAAAAAAGTAAAAAAGAACACAGTATCTCCATTGTCTCTGAGCTGAGCAAATGGTGGTGCCATAAATAAGATGAAGAAAGTCTTTGTAAATGCCTTATGCTCCTTCATTAAATCATGTCTACTTATCCAGATGACATATGTATGCTTCTTGAGGATAAGGATGGAGCCTTGTCAAGTTTTCTTTCCACTATGCTTATTAAAGAATTATATACCCAGGACAGACTTCAGTGAATATTTCTGATTGATTCTGCTAAATAAATTGAAAGAAATGTTTTTGATGCTAGGCCAGCAGCCATTTCTAATTGGGGTGCCTCTATTCTATTCCTTTCCCCACGTTCTTGATACTTAAATAAAAGAAATGCAGAACACTTGGAAAATCTACATTTTTCTTCAGGAGATAAATTGACCTGCTTATTGATGTAGTCATTCTAGGCAAAGTGGCTAGCTGCTCTAACTGGATCTGAAAGAATCCAGATATTTACATTCATTTGAATGCAGAAATAAAAAAAGTACTTTGTGCATTTTACTCCTGGAGAAAAGGAGACAGATCAATACCCACCAGAGAATTATAGCTGAATTGTTGATAAGACATAAATCTGTTAGTTGTATTCTCATCCAAACTATTTTTTAAATGCCCGGGTAAGGAAGAGCCTCTGCTATTATTTAAATCTGGATTTTTTTGCTTCTTGTAAATTTGTAAATGCAACATAAGGAATTTTTCTCCCTTTATTCTATCATGATACTCCTATCAGCTATAGTGCTATATAGAAATACAAGGGAACAGTAATGCTCTGTTAGTAATGGAATTTACATATGAAAAGAAAGTGATGCATATTCAATTGCCCCTGTTTTAGAATCTCATCATTGTCACATTAGTCATTACTGTGTAACTACCTTGTTTTGATTGATTATATACATGATTTCAATATAAATGAGCATAGCTGTCATGAAAAAGAATTTCCTTCCATTAAATTATAAAAAGTCATCAGTATGTTTAAATTTTGCTTTTTAAAAATTTCATGTTTCTTTAATTATCATATATATTTGAATGGAAGCAAGCATTTTTCTTTATTATCTACATTTTCATTTTTTCTACCTTCAAAATCATGCTATAATACTGAGTTTGCAACATCACTACTATTTCTGTAACAACCCAGTTTGATATCAGTCACACATATGCAATTTAATAAATGATCAAGCAAAATGAAAAAATTCTGATTAAAAATAAATGAGAAGACATGGAAGCAACCTAAATGTCCATCGACAGATGACTGGATAAAGAAATTGTGGTATATTAATACAATGGAATACTACTCAGCCATAAAAAGAATGAAATCATGCTGTTTGCTTAAATGGACCTGGAGAGTGTCATTTTAAGTGAAGTAAGCCAGAAAGAGAAAGAAAAATACCATATGATATCACTCTTATGTGGAATCTAAAAAAAAATTAGAAAGAGAACACTAATGAACTCATCTATAAAACAGAAACAGATTCACAGACATAGTAAACAATCTTATGGTTACTGGAAGAAAAGGGGGTGGGAATGGATAAATTTGGGAGTTTGAGATTTGCAAATGTTAACCATTACATATAAAAATAGATAAAAAACAAATTTGTATAGCACAGGGAAATATATTCAATATCTTGTATTAACCTTTAATGAAAAAGAATCTGAAAAAGAATATATGTATATATATATATGTATGACTATACACCAGAAATTCACACATTGTAACTGACTATACTTCAATAAAAAAAATGGAGCCATTCAAACCTAAATTCCTACTAGCAAATAAAAAAGGTTATAAAGTGCTACTAGAAGCATATGCTAGAAGGAAACATTAGTTTTATTTCAAAATTATTATATCCTTAGTTTCCTCATGTAAAGTAAAATCCCACTAAATAAATCAGAAATTTTCAGAATTCAACATGTGAAGAACAGTGAGGAAAAGGTGTGATAAGTAAATGACTATATAAAGAACAATGTTAGTATCATGTTAGCCTGTGTAAGTGAACAACATGTTTACTAAAAGCAAACTCCCATCTATTAAACTAGCTTACACTGTCTTCCAGTAATGACAACTAAAATGTTCACAGTGTGTGTAACCAGGATTAACTACACCTGGTTGGAACAGAGTAGGTGGGCCAAGTCATGGAACTGGGTTTTCCCACTGAGCAAATTCAGCTACAGGCACCAGACGAAATGCAGTATGGGTCAGAATATGATATTTAGCCATTTTGTCAGTCATCCAGTATTGCTGAACATCTGCTATGTGCCAGGTTCTGTGCTAATCATTCAGGATGTAAAGATGAATGCCTTCCCTCAGAGGGCTCACATATATGCACATGAATGAATTGTAATGCAGTGATTAAATACAAGAGTATAAGCAATTATAACCACTGAGTTCACACAAAAGAAATAGCAATTAACTGTGTTCTGGGAGGGAGAATCAAGGAAAGTGATAGACCTGGATAATGAGGATAAATCAAGCTGTTTTGAAGGGTGAATAGCAGTATGCTAAGGATACAGAAGTAGAATGGGCTTTTCAGGCAGAGGAGGCAGAAGGTGATCTGGAGTATATTGTGAAAGAGAAAGTAGTGGGGAATGAGGATTGAACAGAGCAAGGCAAGACAAGGTGATGAAAAGTTTTATGCATAATGCTTGGAATTTTGGACCAGTGTCTGATCATCTTATAGTGACACCTACAAGTAAACAAGAAATCTCCATATACACAGAGCTTGCCTTTAGCTTTTTTCAGTGTCTCATTCTTAAATATGAACATTCAGTCAAGGATCACCAACATTTAAGAAAAACTTCTGAAATGAGAGCTGTATATATCTAAAATGCATAATTTGGTAAGTTTTGACATATATATCCTCAAATGTATATACATATTCATATGCATGTTCAAATATATACATATACTCCTGAAACCATCCCCACAATCAAGATAGTGAACATATCCACCAGAAAGTCTCCTTGGACCTTCCATCTTATTCCTCGCCGAGAAAACTGATATGTTTCCTATAACTACAGATTTGTATTTTTATAGAGCTTTATATAAATGGAATCATGAGTATTTGCTTCTTTTGATCTGGCTTCTTTCACTCAGCATAATTATTTTGAGAGTCACCCATGTTGTTGCATGTATCAAGAATCCTGTCCTTTTTTTTGACTCGGTAATATTTCATTATATAGATATACCACAATTTATTTATTCATTCCCCTGTTGATGGACTTTTGGATTATTTCCAATTTTTTTTATTACAAATTAAGCTTGCTAAAAAGGAGAGAGCAATTCCAAAATAGAGTCACTTGGGCTAAACCCCACACCAGCAAACCAAGACTTAATACCTAACCTAATTGCAGTCTCAATACCTCCGAGGAATGTAACCTTTAACCAATCAATCTGGAATTACCTGATCAGGACTAGTGAGGTAATCCACCTTACTATTCCCCTTAGGATGGTGGCCCTTCCTGAAACAGTGCATTCTTTGCTAATAATTTCTTTTTTCTGCCCCCTTTGTGCCTTTGAAAACCTTTTCTTTTCTATAGCTCTGTGGAGCTCCTTTCTATTGCTAGATGAAATGCTGCCTGTTTCATAAATCATTTAATAAAGCCAATTTGATCTTTAAATTTATTTAGTTGAATTTTTGTTATTTAACAAACTCTCATGAATATTCTTGTGCAAGTCAATGTATACACATATTTTTCTTTAGTTTTGGGTAAATGCCTCAAAGTGGAATGGCTGAATTTATGGTAGGTGTATCTTCAACTTTATAGTGAACTACCAAACTTTTGCAAAGCAGCTCTCCCATTTTACATTCCTACTAGCAGTATGAGAATTCTGGTCACTCCAATCCTTACTAACATGTGGTCAGTCTTTTTAATTTTAGACATTCTAGTAAGTGTGTAGTGGCCTCATTGTAGTTTTAATTTGCATTTTCCCAAACTTTTCATGTGCTTATTTGCCATCCATACATCTTTCATGAAATGTCTGTTCAAATATTTCCCTGAAATGTCTGTTCAAATATTTCCCTCCCCTCTTTTTCTAAGCTTTTTTTTTAATGGAAGTACTAGGGATTGAACCTAAAACCTCTTGCATGCTAAGCACACACTCTACCACTGAGCTATACTCTCCCCACCATGGTAAGCTTTTATAAATGACCATGCATGGAGCCCTTGCAGGCAACAGCTCAAGAGCTGCCCCCACCCCACCCCATTTGGACCCCTACTTTGGAGAAGAGAGCTATTGGCCGCTCCCACTGTCTCCTGAACCAGATCATGTGATACACGGTGTGTTGAGGCCACAGCAGGTGAAACACTTTAGTGAGAGACAGGTCTTAAATGAAAGGATCAAATCATGGCAAACACAGCATATTAATAAATCTTTGAGGTCTATTTCTCTCTATACTTTTAAAATGCTTTTCATATCTGACAGGAAACCTCACAGCCATCTAAATTAAAGAAACATTTGGCAGATTTTTAAACTTTAGG